ACACACACACACACACACACACACACACACACACACACACACACACACACACACACACACACACGTTGTGCTGAGTCACTCCTCACCAGAAACAAACTTTTTGATATTTGTAAAGTTTTACATTGTCTGAACTTTAAGAAGTCATTTAATGAGCTTGTTGGATTTAAAAAGCCTCTAATGTTTGGTTGAATATCCTTAAAGTTGCACCTTCACTACTAATAGCTTCTAGTTCTGTTGGATATTTGACTTTTTTTGTCAGAATGGGTAGAATTTGTTTTAATTGGTTGTTTTTTTTTATCCCAGATTTGGCTTTTAAACACACATCAACCAGCAGGGATGGGTAACTGGTGGCTCACAGGCCACATCCAGCCCATGGGTTGCTTCCATCTGGCCCATCAATGGGCTCTGAGAGAAAAAAAATACACTCTTACAATCTAAGAGCTGGTTTCTTTTCTTTTTTTTAGTAAAAAATATAATCTAAAACTAATTTATTCATTCATTTTGGGAGTTACTACGGAGCCCGCGAGGGGACACGGGGGATTTTTTTTCCTTTTGCGTTCCCTCGCAATGTTTTGTGTTCCTACCAAAAGTTTGTTTTGAATATGAACTGAATTAAATCAGACTTTTATTTTTGAAATATCCGGTTACCAAAACAGGATGTGTCGCCACAAGTTCGTGAAATTAACTTTTGATGTTGCGTGGCTGCATTGTGTTAAAATATATGACATACTTCCATACATGGCTGTGTGATATATTCATTCTGAAGCTGAATTAAAGCAGTAGGCTAACTCGCTAATGGAGAACAGGTGAGTTTGTTAATAAACAGGCAGGAACAACAGTGTTTAACGACTTTTGTGAGGGAACGCAAAAAGAAAAAAAATTCCTGTGTCCCCTTACGGGCTCAGTAAGGTACTGATCCTTTCTGAGCAATTCAACATTTAGTGTCTAATGGCACATGTTTAACACCATACGCTTAGAGACATGGTCTGACAGAAGTCACCAGTTCTACACGTTGCACCAAGCTAAATATGAGAAGTTTACTGAAGTCACAAACACATAAACAACAACAACTTCTTACTGGAACCAGAACCACACAGGAGTCTGACCTAATGCTGTTCAACTGCAGCTCGAGAAAAAAGTTTGTTTGTTGGCTTCAAACATTTTGTTTTAATTTTTATTAAACAAGTGTTCAACTGTAATACGTCCATTAGAGCCGTTTCATTTTCAGGCTGGAGTCTTGGTGCTCTCCTATAAAGCTTCTCACAGATCTTTGCTACCACCCTTTAGTCACAAATCACTCCTGAAACTTTTCTCCATCCATGTTTTTTTTAAAGGTGAACTTGTATAATCAGTCCACCCTGAAAACAAAGAACCATTCAAACAAATCACTAAAAGCTCATAATTAACAGACCGTATGTAAACATCTAGACTTAACTGCAGTGGCGGAGCCAGACTTTTTTCTCAGGGGTGGCCAGACTGGGACCACTGCTCACACAGGGGTGGCCAGACTGGGACCACTGCTCACACAGGGGTGGCCAGACTGGGACCACTGCTCACACAGGGGTGGCCAG